GATTTCAAAGACTCTTAGCCAAAATCGGCCAGTATCTGGTAGTTCTTTCTTAATTTTGAAAAAAAGGTAAGGTGCATTTAATCGCGCGCAAATGGTCAACTCCAGCGCAGAATATTTTCCCGACACCTCTCACCCGCGAAGGTTTGTCAGCCATGGAGCATGACTGACTGAGGCTGATAGTGTCGGACCTGAAACGCGTTCTCCTTTGCTAGCAAACTGATAGGAGGATGCTGGAAACGCCCTTTCCTGAATCATATCTGAGATGACATGTAACCCCTGCAGATTCTATATGGAGAATGAGATACAGTTACCTAATTTTCAACACTCAAAGCTCAATGAAGCGCCATGCTTTGAAAGAGTGCAATATCTACTAGATAAGTCCACGTAAGAATTTTTGAGTATAAATCTGTTTTGGATTCATCTTTTATGTCTAACCGAAATTCCTACTTTTTCTCCAGCAAATAGAGTATTGCTAGGTCAACTGAGTCAAAGATATAGTTTGATGATATGAATGTAATAGTCTTTTATTGCAAGAATAAAATCCGCTGTTCAGAAGTTGACATACCCATTACCTGAGAAAAAAGCCCTCACAATCAAGTTTTGTTAGCAGAGAATTTGGCTTATCTTTGAACACGAATTAGGGTATTCGATTATGTATAGTAAGGCAACGGTTTATTGTGTGATCGACCAGAAGATTAAAAGCATTTAAGGATGCAAACTCCATAGATCTATTATTTAACTGCAAGAAATTGCCTAAAGTCTAGTTTTCCTGTGCGCTTTTGAATCTATTTAGTCTAAAAGAGATCCTACAAAAGATGAAATAAAACTAAAAAAAAGTTTCAGGCAACTATCTTTTTTAAACCACATTGAAATCGCGATAAATGTGCTGGTCTCGTAAACACGTCAAAACGTTGCGTTAAACGGAAATGGCGCAAGTTTATTCGCAACACCGTGATCCAGTAAGGTGAGCCAAAAACTGCACATGATGAGCCCTGTTTATCCACTTACTTCCCCAATTTCTGTATGCTTTTCTCACCAAATTAAAAGATAACGTTTCAATTTTTATTCGTAGATCAGACGTCTACAGCGAAAATGAAAGAAAAAAATGGATTGAAATCTGAGAGGCTACCGTAAGAATGGATGATATACTTTATAGAGCTGTTGCTGTACTCGAGTTTGCAGCTGGCATATGTAGTAGGCTAACTAGTTTGCAGTTCTGTTTAGCTCATGATTCCCCCAAGTAGAGGTTGCGAGCGTATGAGGAAGAGGAGGAAGCATGTAAGAAACTGTTCTCTGTCCCTTTTTCTTCGCTCACCTATCACAATTTCAGCATCTGCAGGCTGTCGAAAAATTTTAATCTTACCTTTTTTACCTTGCATGTGCGAATGAGAATCTAAAATTGCAATTGTACCGTTGTCTCGTTCATGCACAATTAACACGGCTCTCTCCACAATAATCAGCACAAAAAATAGCACCGGAAGATGTGCGATATACTCACTAAAAGATCTATTAACAAAGGTGTCTGCTTCTACCATAGTTTTTGATCTAATTATCGTTAGTTCTACCTATCTATAGCATGTTGAATATGTTGAGGTAATAGCCGCCACGTAATTCCACGAACACTTCTATAGTCAATCTCGTTTATCACTCCTCCTAATGCTTCGATTCCTTGTGGTATTGTAAACGTATCCAGTGTTGGTAGAAATGTTACTCGTGAGCTCCTGGAGTGATGAGGTTGGCTCGCTGATACATCTGTAGACTGTCTCAATGTTTTCAATAGGAATTTACGTCACTTACTGCCGTTTCGCCATTTCTCGAGCATGCACCGCATTTCCATCTACTATTGAATTGGTTAGTAAAGCTAATAGCGACACCGGAATGATGACTTCCTGGAACATTTTTGACTTCAAAATCACTTGTTTTGGCTTAAAACAATCTCCATTCACTCGCTTTTTGAATAGTGCA